GGGAATTCTATTTTTGTGTGTGTGTGTGTGTGTGTGTGTGTGCGCGCGCGCGCGTGTGTGGCTTTGATTTAACATGCCCCTTATTCCTTGCCTCTCCTTGGAGTTCTGTAAGAATGGCTTTCCTGGTTACTGTCTAGGCAATGTATTGGTATAATCCAATTGTTGTGTAATAACCTAATTTCAGTCAGGGCAGCAGGGAAGAAAGAAAGAATTGCTCAATGTTAATAGTCTGTTGCTGTGGTGGTGTGTGTACTTCTTCTCTGCTTTGGAGCTAAATGAGTTTCAAATGTGAGCTTGGATGAGAGAAGCATGTTAACTAGTGCCTGGGTTTCCATGGCTTCAGAACATCTTACTATCACCTCAAGGCCCTCAGCATCTGGGCACTGGCCTCCTCTCTCCACACCCCCTGCCCTGTTGCTTTTGTTCCTCATGTTCTAGCCAGCATAGAATTCTGCAGTTTTCCAAATATGGAAACTTTGTTCCTACCTCCAAACCATTGTGCTTGCTGTTCCTGGTGCTTGTATGGTTTTTCTTCCAATTATTTGCTTGATAAACTACACTCATCCTGACAATTGAAATGCCCTTTTCAAAGCCTGATTTTATGACTACTTAATCCAAGGTAGGTTCTTCCTCTCTCATAGAAACTTGTTTTTCTCTAATGACAACACATTTCATAATTTGCAGGAATAGAATGATGCCTTCCTTTACTTTCTTAATACATCTGTACATCTCTGCAGTGAAAGATCTTCAAGAAAGGACATCAGTAGTTAGCCTCTCATTGCATAGTGTAAGCCCAGAACACTTCCTAACACTGGAGTGGCTTAAACAAATATTTGAATTAATAAACACACTTGTGCTTGTGAAAAGGGAGGGAATATGAAACTGTGAAATCCTGGAAATGATTTCTAATAGAATTATTCAATTACATAATATATTATTAACAGCTTGAATATGGGAGAAGATATCTCAGTAAAACTAATTTTCTTAATAGATTTTTGAAAAGTTGAAGTGCTTTTGGATTTTTTTTTGCAATTCAGGGAAAACCCAGCCTGATCAGTAGAATTATTCCCGCTCCCCAAAAGCTGTCCTTTGTTTTAAATAAGAAAACTGTATTCTCACAACGTCTTTCATCCTCAAAGCCTTCACAAGTATTAATTAATCCACAAAATGGTATCTGGCCCTAAAAGGTAGAATCTGTGACTTAAGGTTTATCTGCAAAAGCCTGCTTTGCCCCCAAGCCATGGCAACTTCCTGAGCTCTGTCCTCAAAATCCTCCTAGCTCAGGAGGAAGCAGATGATTCTCTGAAACCTGCCACAGGCTTTTGACTCCTGCAGGGTTATCCATAGACATGTCTTATTTCTTTTGATAAAAATAAATAAGATAAAGGTTTAACATGCTATAAACAGGGTTATGTTCCCTGAATAACTCTTTAGGGAGAGGGAAATTACTCTGAAAATAATTTGGTTTCATGAACAGTTGTATTATAGTATATATAAGATCAAGAAATAAATCCATTAGTATATTTAATGTTTCATGTTTAAAGTTGATGCTGCATTCTAAACATTTCTTAAGCAATCACACTGCTTCTCAGTAAATTATTTTAATCTTCCACTGAAAGCCTGTGGGTTTGCATACCATGTGGCATAAATGACATCACCTGCCAGCAAACTGGGTAGTGTCCATCATGAGATTTTTAGACTCCAATTAGCGAAGTAAGTTTCCTGGATATTACTTGAAAGAAATGCATTGTTTTTTTTTGTTGTTGTTGTTGTTGTTGTTAACCCTGGACACAATCAACTTTATTAAAGAGAACTTTAAATAAGAGATGAAGCACCCCTCCCAATCTTTCATATTGGAGCATCCACATGAAAGATTTCATTTTAAAGTGCATCTTTTTCCTCCAAAGGGGGTGGATCTAATGGGATGTTTCCAAGTTATACCTAAAGCCAAAGTCTCTTATGAGTCCTGGAAAATGTTCTGGAGAGTTCTCTGGATATGAGATAAAGGAAGTAAGATTTGTAATGTAGCACATTTTAGAAATAAATAAGCTTGAGGATTCATATGATAAAAATAATAAATAATCACACCAATTTAAAAGCATTTATTAAGTTTTCTAAAGGATCTGTATGTATATTATGCCATATGAAAATTCCTCCTGGTAGGTATTGCCAAGAGAAACTAAAGCAAGAATAAAGGAATATAAGGTTATGGGGAAAAGGAATATAAGGTTATATTAGATGTACAAAAGATTTTATGGGTTCTTGGAAACAATTCAAGTCTTAGTAAATGGCAATGTAGAGTTCAAAATTAATCAGATTTGTTTTTTTTTTCCTTGTGGGGAGGGGTTGATGGTTAATTGGCATTGCACCCACAATGGAAAATTCATCAATAGGAGTTTGTAGTAAAGATGACATTTCTATCTTAAAAATAACATTGATACAGACATGCAATTTAAGTAGATGTGGATGGATAAAAGTTGAATATTACTGTTGTTTAAAAGACACAGTAAGATAAATTATTACTCAGAGAATCTAGGGAAACCCAAGTCAGGACTATGACATAAACTGATTAGTAATTTCAAAAGTTTATAGAACTAATGTGTGTTTGTGTGTGTGTGTGTGAGAGAGAGAGAGAGAGAGAGAGAGAGAAATATACATATATGCATATAAAAAGATTTAGAGCAATTACAGAATAAGGGCTTAAAAATTATAGCTTTACTATTAGGAATATATCTATGAACATCTGAGGTCAACATTATTTTAATAAACCTTTAATATCTTTCTGTTACATCAATTGACTAATATGTGTTTCACACTAGTGCCAAAGCAATAGAAGTGAAAGAACAATATAATAAAGAAAATACAAGTCATGGCCTTTAACTACAAGGCATTTGCAGTCCAGTCTTGAAATGGAACAAGTATGTTGTGAATTATATTATATATTATATATATATATATATATATATATATATATATATAATATATATTATATATAATATATTATATATATATTATTTATATTATAAACACAATTATGTATATTATAAACACAAATTTGTATATGAGCATGTGCTGAGATGAAAGAAAGATAATTTCTACAGAAAATTCCAGTTCTCCCAGGTAAGAGCCATGCCTTAATCACATTATTCCTGGCATGAGGGTATGTATTTGGAAGTATATAATAATATGAATCAGAAACCATGAGAGAAGTCTATAGACTTAATACCAAAAAAGAATGAAAGCTTTCATTTGAGAGTTGTAACAAGGAAAATGAAGTAATTATGATAGTATTGAGGGAAGGTTAGTCTGGAATCACTACCTGTGATCAGTGGAGTAGCATAATGAAGTGTGGTAAGATCAGAAACACTGGAAGGCCTCATGAGGGTGTGTGTGTATGTGCACAGTATAAACATAGGAAATCCAGAAACATAGGGGCTGAACTGCTTCAGAAAATGATGACATATGTGAAGGGTCATAGGGAAAATGAAGAATCCAAAGAAAACGTGTTTTAGGCATCAATAAATATTTGCTGCTAATAAAGATGGACTTGATGGAAAGGGGAACTCTGGAAGGTTCTGCTGATGGGTTCCCATTGGGAAATCTCACTTCTGTTACAACACTGGGAAAGAGTCTTGAAACAAATGTCAAGGTAGTGCTCAGCAATATAAGATAAAATAAAAAGAGAAAATATCCAAGTATATATCTGTATATTATAAACTTGCAAGTAAAACCAAAAGTCATTAACTTTTAATTCATGAACTCATTCAATACATATTTATGGCCTTTTCCCCATTATTCTAGAAGTCATTTATTGCAATCACTAAATTAATAATTATTGCTAATTTTAATATTCTAGCAACCTTTAGAATAACAGGAACAGAATAATGAACATAGGAGACAAAACTTCTGCTCTCAAAGAACTAACATTCTTTGTTAGTTAATGGATTGACATCTAAAATTGTATAGTATGCCAAATGGGTAAAGTCTACAGAGAACATTTAAAAGGATAAGAAAGAAGAACTGTGGATGAAAATGTCATGCATTTATTTGTGTGTTTATTTAAAGTAGATTATGGCAGACCTATTTTTAAAAGGTAATATTAGAACAGAGATGTGAAGTAAATGAAAAATGAGACTTACAAATTACTGGGTACTAGATGAACTGCATTGTAAACAGAAAAGAAAAGCTAAATGGAATGGCCCTGCAGAAGTAAGCTATCAGCTTGGTTGGAGGAAAATAAGCCAGAGAGAAGAGGGGGAGAGGTAAGGACAGAGAGATTGTGGGACTTATAAAATATGTGAACTACTGGGTGTTTTTCAACTTTTATCTTGGGGTGATGGAAGTCACAGAGTATTTTGAGACAAGGAATGATATGGACTGAAAACTTGTGTCCTCCTCAAAGTTCATATGTCAAAATCTTAAACTCCAATATGAATGTATTGGAGGTGGCAACTTTGGGAGTTAGTTTATGAGTAGGAAGCCTTCGTGAATGGGATTAGTGATTTTACAAAAGTCAACTTGGAGAGCTCTCACTCTCTACCACGTGAGGGTATAGTGAGAACTCTATAGTCTTAAATTAGGAACCTGACCATGCTGGTACACTGATCTAGGGCTTTCAGATTCCAGAACCATATGAAATATATCTCTGTTGTTTATACACCACTGAGTCTGTGGTACTTTGCCATTGCAGCTTGAATGGACTAAGACAGTGGTATAGCAGCCTCTGGACAGCAGGCCTATCCTGCCAACACCATGTAAGTGAGCTTGAAAGCAGATGCCTCCCAGGAAGAAGTTCAGATGTGATCCTTGTTCTAGCTGCCATCTTGATTGCCACCTTTGAGTATCTCTGAGCTAGAGGGTACTGGTAAGACATGCCCAGATTCCTGAACCACAGAACATGAGATAATAACACATGCTGTTTTAAGTTGCTGAGCTTAGTGATAATTTATTTTGTAGCAGTACATCAAAGCATACATTAACGTAGTAAATTCATCACTCACCAGTTGTTCCAGTGGAGGAATTACTTCTTTCAAGACATGCTGTGAATGGTTCCTTCTGTGTCGGGATATCTGCAAATATATTGGCATTTGATACCATTACATTATTTTCTTTAAAAAGCTATAAATGATTTAAAAGTTCATAATTCAGTAAGTATGCTCATGAAAATAAGCATATTCAGATTCATTCAAGAAGGTGAATATAATACTTATAAAATCAGAAGTATTTTAGATGTCAATTGATTTGAATAAAGTTTGTATTTGAACATAGCTAGCAGCCACATCTTGTATCCCATATAGTCTTTTAACTGTTTAACCTTGACACACCTTTCATCAAGTAGCGAGATCTATGATCTCTCATTTTGAAACTGGCTATAGCTTTACGCCAAAAAATATGATAGAAGTACCACTACAATTCAAAGGTTAGAACATTATGCACTCCCCACTTGAAACTCTCATCTTGTAAAATGGTTGCCATATTGTGAGGAAATGCAAATCACTCCCCACAGAATGACCATAAGGAGAGGCTTCATAGGACTTCATAGGTCACAGCAACCACCATCTTTCTCCAATCCTATGAGTATGAAGACTTCCTGATGATCTTAGCACCCAGCCATGGAGACACCTCAGCCTTTAAGTGTCCCAGGAGAGCCCTCAAACATCATAGGATAGAAATAAGCTGTTCCAACAGCTGAATATCTAAAGTATTTTACTGACATAAATAGAACATTATAAAGTAAGTGTTTAACATAATAAATTAAGTGTTTTACACCTCTGTGTTTTAGGTTGTTTAAAAATGCAGCAATAATAAGTGGAACAAAATATTTCATACTGAAACATTTTGTCTTCATGATATGACCTCAGCTTTTTCAGAATCAATGGTAGTAAAATTTTTCCTATGTTACTGAGATGTAATTAAAAACAAAAATCACATGATAAGTACTCATGGAATAAATAAAACTTAGCCTTTTTGTTCTTTCCCCTGAAGAGATATCATAGACAAATTCTATTATAAACAGGAAAAGGAAAAGAAGGAACTTATGATTATATCTCTTTGATAACTTAAAGACTCTCAGTAATAGTACTATTCATATTCTACATGAAGAAAAGAAAATAGGGAAGGAGGAGGAAGTGAGGAAGAATAGAAGATAGGAGGGAAAGCCAGGGGGGCGGGGGGAAAGAGAGTGGTGAGAGAGAAGTTAGAATAAAAAATGACTAAGTACCTGATGTAGAAAAGGACTTGGCTGTCTTTGCTCTGGTTACTGGCACATGTAACTGAAGGAATTAGATCAATGTCTATGAATATTTTAAGGGAATCATATTACCAAAGAAACCAGCAGCCTCGCCTAAAAAAATTCCATGACTATACAATCCTGGAACCCCATATCTGCTCCACAAAAATTGGATTATAAAGGAAGTATACAACCAAAGAGATCGTTTTCCCCAATGTCCACTCCATATATGGTCCATGGGAGATAATACAGAAGGAATAACCTGTAAAAAGAAGGGCCAGAAACCCTAGAGAACAAAATATTTAGGGAATTCTCCTAGAAAGGAGAACCAAATCTATCACTAAGGCCAGTGTAGGAGTTTCAAAATCCTGCCACTAAGGATCTAATTATTGATTTGGTCCAATAATTGATGGATGTTTACCATTTTGCTTTTTTACTAGAAAGAGGGGTTTTGGCATATCTATTTCAGTTATCAAGTTATTGCTCCATCATTGCATACAGAAAGTCGTGGCTAAAGTGGAACAGATAACTTTTTTTGAAGTTCTAAATCCCTCAAAAAAGACCTGAACCTTATGGAAAGAGTTATTTCTTACTGGAGATTATGGAAATAGAGCTTGATGCATCAGTTGGATGAGATTTTTGGATGTCTCTTTAGAGAGGTGAATGATGTATAGCTAAGTGTTGAAATATGTGTGCAAAGTGGCAAATGGTGAAGGGGAAGAAATATTTTGTATTCTGACTCTGAGGCACATACTTTGACCACCTTTCTCAGACTACCTTACCACTGGAGTGGACATATGACTAGGTCAGACCAATGGAATATGAGCAGAAACAATGAAGCAATAATACTAGAGCTATTATCCAGTGAGTGCTTCCCTTCCATTCCCTCTTTATTCATATACTGACTAGGAGGAAATAATGAACTAGTCTCTATGAAATGATGAATATATAAGAGGAATGAGTTTGGGTTCTGAATCTTCAAATTGAGAAATCCAAGCCCAGATGCAAAAAGATCATTTTGTTTTCATCAGTAAACTTTTTATTTGTAATAGTTTTATATTTAGAGAAAAGTTGCAGAGAGAGTTTCTATAGAAAACTTCCTTCTTTTAGATAAGTGTGAAATAAATTCCTACTTCTTGGAGGCATCATATATTTAAGAGAATTTTATAGCTGCTAGCAATATCCTAAAAAAAAAAAAGATGACCATGATTAGAGCTCAATTGATGTCAAAATGAAAGGTCTTATGCATAAGGAAACTGAGAACAAAATAGTGACTTAATGGGAAGGAATCCAGAAACTCTAACTTCATTCTGGTTATCCACTGATATTTCAGGTTCTCAGCAGTGGGAGAATTGTTTATTTGGCATTTAAATCTCTTAAAGAACCAGAAATTTACTTTCTACTGTTACAAATTCAGAGTTTACATCTCTTAGCTACTCATTATACTAAGATTTGTTCTCTCCATTGAAAATTTAATACATGTTTTACATTCAACTTAAAAGAGTGGAAGAGTTCTGGGGTGGGGGAGTTTTTATTTTATTTCCTCAAAACTTAACTAGATGTCCAGTCTTAGGGCAAAAGTCATTCTCCTGGCATGTAAAGTACTTCACATGTAAAAAAAAAAAAAATAGCACTAAGCAAATGGTGCACAGTACTGATGAACAGGCCCCTGGCCATTCACCCATGTTAGTTTTATCATTTCTTTTATGGCCAGTATTTCTCCTTTTACATCACCAGAGCTGGAATTTGATAGGTACATTGCTCTACCATATTCTAAGTGTTTCCTTCCACTTATTTGTGGAAAGCTTTTTTCTAAGGCAGTGCATCTAATTGTGTTTTATACATATCATCAAGAGCACAAGATATTATTTCAGCTGGTGACTTTTAAAGTTTTGTTTATTATTTATAAAATCTTAAGACTTAGTAGAAAAATTATCACATGAAAGCCATTTTACTAGTTTCCTTTAAAATAAAACTATTCAGGTTTAAGTAATATAATTACATAAGTAGTATATGGTATTAAATATGGGCAAAAGCTCACTATCATACTAAGTTAATGACCAAAGTTTTGGAATAATTTTATTAAAAAATCTGAACAGAAATGCCCTTTCACTGAAAACATATTTATATCTCTGTAAAAAAAGAGTCCCATTGAGTCCATGGTGTAAAGAAGAATTCAAGTTGGACATTATCTAAAGATAATGCTATCTGCTAACATTAATTTGAGTACTTATGTTTTCCAAAAACTGCTCTATGTCTTTTGCATACACTAGCATATTTAATTCTAACCTAAACCCTTAAGAGGTCAATGATCTTGTTTCGTAAGTATGGGAATACAGCCCCAGAGAGATTCAACAATATTAGTAAATTCATAGCTTGTAAAAGACTGAAGTGACTTTTAATCTAGATCTAACACTGTACTATTCTGTTTTATTTTATACACACACACACACACGTGTGCGCACACACATATGTATATCAGCAGTCACTAAATTCATAGGGACCTAGAATGTTCAGACCTCTGTGTATGCAGAAGAAAATGTTTCTAAGGTGGGAATTTAAAAGAGAGTCAAAATTATAAGTTTGCACACATTTATATGGGAACTTAAGAATCAGGTTTCAAATCTGTTATGAATCAGCTTTATATTCCTTTAGGGGAAGTAATATTGCTGATAATTCCTAAATCAATAAGCTAGCCAATCTATCATGTTCAACCAAGTTATGAAGATGTTGGAAAAAGAGAATTTTCATCACCTGTCTTTTGCTGCAATGCTCTTTTCATAAAAGCATTAGACAAAGAAATATATCATCCCAAATCAGATTATGCTGACTGAGACTGATGTTAAGAAATCTGGATCTGAAACAGCTTAATTGCCTCATATGTATATCATGAAAAGTTAAAATATGTCAAATTTAATGACTGTAAAGAAATATATATATAAATAATTAAAAGAAAACTAGGGGTCAACCAAGATCTCATGAGTTAAGTATGAAGGGAAAAAAGGCTTTCCTAAGCCATATTATGAAGAATAGAACATTTCATAGTGCTCGTGTAAGTATTTATCAATAACTTATTATTATCATATAATTGTGCAATTATTATAGGACATCCTCTTGAGAAATCCTGCAATATAAGATGTCCTTTTGATCCATTCCTGTTCAGCCAGAAGCTATTTTATGTTTAGTATACTCATATGTCAGTAATTTCTAGTAGTAGATATTCAAAATATACTTGCTTATGGTATCAAATATCTCTACTATTATCATGGCAAAAAGCATATTTCAATTTAGACTGTGCTATTCTTTTTCAAGAATTTTAAAACTTTTAAACGTATCTGATAGGGAAAATGTATATTTTTATATTAATTGTATCTGATAACTAATTTTCTTCTATAAATTGCTTCAAGATAAATTTTAGAATCTGGCCACAGTGCACTAAGTCCTTCTCACTTTGAATGGAAATGTTAAATAATTATTGAAGTTTGAAAACTAGATAGCAACATAAATATTAGCAGTAGGTTGATCCAACTTTATTTTAATAAATTAATTTCTCAATCACAAAAGTATTTATTCTGGGAAATACTGGGAAGCCTTAAAGTATTGTTTTTATGCATAAATTCTTTCTTTTTTGGTTTCCAAATGTTCTTAAATAGTATAGAGATCCTCCCTGTAAACACAGATGCACGTGTATGGATGTCTATCACATATTTAAGTGTTCACAGCCTCATTTTGTTTGCTAGATTTACACTCCTTGTAAATTATGAAATGTTGGCTTCGATATCATGAAGAGGTTCAATATCATGAACCTCTATATTTATTTACAATTTTCTAGCACAAAGA